ATTAAACGTGATAGTATATAAAACCATGCTCGTATCTACAACCTATAGAAATGCAAAACGGCGTCAGTTTAGACGTAATTCTATCCTCCTGCTTACCGCATAATTTATGAGAAAACATTTCATAACATTAACACAACATATTTGAGGTGGTTTTAAATAACATAGGCTATCCGTATTTATTTATTTCTCCAAGTTATGTTTTTGTGTGCACTGAGGAGTCGCAAACAGGCGTTTATTTAATCATTTTAAGATCGGCTTTAATCAATGTTTGAAAATGAATTCTTCATATATGATAAATGAGAGGTAACATTTTATTTATGGTATTATTTCCACATATTTCTCTCCATTCTTCCTTCTGCCAACGGTGTCGCAGTTTCTCGTCTCTCCCGTTTTTGTGCTTAGTGCGTACGCATGGGTTAGAGTTTGCGTGGAGGACTGCACGTCTTCCCCTCAAGTTACTATTTTATAAATCGCAAACATTGCGTAGAAACTGCCGTACGCCATTTTTTGAGCGTATATCTCTTTATAAATGAGGCCCTAAATGAGTGTGTAGGAGCATACCACAGGGTAGTATTTCTTATCACAGAAAAAAGACAAACTGCAATATCTATGTTATGTGAGGTTTCACATTGTCCTTGCTTCCTGCTACAGGGAGGTCAGAGTTCACAGTGCGCCATAGACCAGTGGTTCCCAACCTTTTTTTCCCCTTCATCTGCCCCTGAGGAGCCTATAGAGAGGCTCTGCATTGTTCCTCCCAGTGAAGGCCAATCTCTCAAACCAGCAGTCCACAATCACGTACACCCCTCCATTTAGAAACTCTGTCACACTGTCTGTGGGTTTACTACTTCCCGTAGCTCAGTGACAAAAGTGTCCCGTGTGCGGGGGGGGGGTGGGAGTGGGTTTCTGAAACAAAGTAGCAAATGGAAGCAGCTATGTCATAAGAATGCATCATATCTAAGGGACAATGCTTTAAAAGGAGCAGTTTCCGACAGCTCCTGTTATCAGAGGCAGGTGTCAGGAATGCCAGTCCAATTCTTGGCATACCTCTGTGTGCCAAGCTCCCGTATAAAAGTGAGAGCTACTGCTGCTGGCCCAGCATCCAAACAGCTTCCAGGAAAACAAGATCTTTCATCCATTGATACCATCAACAGGAACTCACAGGAAACATGTGTCTGTCTTCCATTCCCCTCTGTGGCTTCCTCCTCATCTTAAACCTACAGCTGTTCTGCACATCTCCCATCAACCCCGGCCTCTCTGACGCTGACATAGACTTCTTTAAGGTGAGGCTCTGATTGATCCTGAAACCTGGGGAGGTACTTTGTATGAGATCAAGGGAACATGGACAACACTTTCAACACTTGCAGAGACTGCATTTAATTTAACCGATTTATGTTTAGTTATAGATCGTAATGTATAAACATCATATCCTACATTATTTGGACCCTTGGGACCATATATGATATAATTGGACTTTGATGTCATCAGATATGAGTTACTGAAGTTAAATATGTGCTCTAAGCAAATAACTGAAAGTGTCATGATAACGTGACAAATAATGCTACGGTTGTAGAGTCAACCACATTGAATTAAGGGCTGAAAATTTGAATATTTGGCAATTACCCTGTAGAAGAATATCACAAATGCTTCTAATGGTCTTAACATCTGCTTCCGATTACTATGTCTAAAGGTGCTGACATCTTTGTTTGAAGGCCCTTCCTTGAATGTATGTCCTTAATTCAATTTGAAATGTTTCTGTCTAGTATGCAAGACATGGCATAACCTGTGTATATGTGGATGTTGCAGGAGCTCCTTAGCAGACTAGAGGAGTCAGTTTCCGAAGTGGAACAGAGTGTCACTGCAGAGAGGAACCTGGAGAGCCTGAGCACAGAGGAGGCGGTAGACAGACAACAGCTCCCCCCAACTCTGGATGAGGTAGCAATCAGGGAGTTTCTCTCAGCAAAGAACCTGAAGAGCATCCGCAACGACTCGACCAGGAAGTCGTCCAGCTGCTTCGGCCGGCGGATGGACCGGATCGGCTCCATGAGCTCTCTGGGCTGCAACACAGTCGGCAAATACAGTAAGTTACAGTGACCACATGTTTGTAATCATATTAAATAATAACATGTGTACCAATATTAAAATATAATAGTCCTAACAGAGCTGTTGTTATCTGTTTCTCTTGCAGATCCAAAGTAAAGAGAAAGTCTTACCAGCACAATCCTGGAACTGCAATGTCTCTACTAAAATATGATTTTATTTGAAAGCTATTTATTTACTCATATTTATTAAATATTGTTAGTTGCTAACGTGTATTTATTTAAATTGAATATAAGAATGTTCTTTATGTACTGTTTAATGTTTTAATAAATGTTTACAACTGCACATCATTGAGCCTAGTGTTTCTAAAGCAGGGGTCTCCAACCTTTCTTCATTACATTACATGTTACTTGTTAGACGCTTTTATCCAAAGCGATTTACATACTCAATACTGTGGACAATCCCCAGACGAGCAATTTGGGGTGAAGTGTCTCAGGGACACAACGACATGCTGACTGCAATGGGGTTTGAACCTGTGACCATCTGATCCGAACACCAACGCACAATCCACTGAGCCACACACCTCCTCTTCATCTGATAGCTACTTTGAAAAAATGAAAGTGGCCAAAAACTTCTTGCATCACATCGATTACATTATTGACATAGCCCTCATCAGTTGAATTAAGCTACTTTTGTACACGTGTGAAATTGCACTACCCAAAGCTTATCAAAAATTCACATCAAGGTCCAAGAAAACGACAATTTATCACATATTATTATGGCCCACATAATAAGTACATCACTGAACATTCACATAAATGTCCTTAGTCACCACCTGACAAGCATCTTATGGCACTAAAATAAGTGCATTCACTCTTTTTTACAGTCAGTGAGATGACTGGCACTGCATGGAGTCCACCATAGAGGTGTATGCTGAAGTGTACCCACTTAGGTTCACTCTAATAGTCATTTAAATGTTCATCAGTCAGTCTTGTTCTGTATTTAGATTTCATGACATTCATGTCGGAAAAAGCTGCTTCACAAAAGGTATGTAGAGCCAAATAAAGCAGCCATGTTCAGTGCTGCTTGGTGAATGTTCTTATAGTTTTCTGGCTCTACAAGGCTCCAGAAATGTTGTGAGTTTTGATGAGATTTAAGCTGAACATGATTTTGGAGATTTATAACCTCCACCTCCATCTCCACAGGATTGACACTGAACAGTGCAGCCATCTTATTCTTCTTCTTTGTTTTGACATTACATTATAGACCATAATAAATCAATTGTATAGGTCTAGCCTCCCTATATATATGTGTGAAATTGTTCCATCCTCAAAAACTAAAAACG